GACTACCAGTATTTCCTTTTCGACTAGTCGTACTAAATTAACTGAGCCGTTTCATTTGATTCATACTGATTTATGTGGTGCGAGTCCTGTGACATCTCGCCATGGTTACAAGTATTCTGCGTTGTTTGTTGATCATGCTACTAGATTCACCTGGGTTTATTTCTTGCGGCTTAAGTCTGATCTTTTATCCGTTGCCACTAAATTTTTGAAAATAATCCAGACTCAATTCGGTAAGACACTTCGTGTAGTCCGATATGATCATGGAGGTGAATTTAGCTCTAATCCTCTTCTTGATATTTATAAGTCTTTGGGTATCCTTACTCAGAAATCATGTCCCGGTGTCTCACAACAAAATGGTCTAGTTGAGCGCAAGAATCGACATGTGTTAGAAGTCACTAGAGCTCTTCTTTTGTCTTCCCATGTACCATCTTCTTTGTGGCCTGAGACTGTAGCTACTGCTGTTCGTTTAATTAATTATCAAATCACTCCTGTTCTTGGTCAGGTTATTCCTTTTTATAAGTTGTTTGGTACCCATCCTCCTTACTCTCCTCTCCGTGTCTGTGGTTGGGTCGGAGAAATTTGGGCGTGATGCTAATGGAAGCGTTCGGCATGAGCACTAGAGGGAATTAATGTGGCAAGTAACTCAAATCATGTTTCCTAAGGGATTCAACTATCTATTACACATACAACACCAAAAGCTTAGAACTTACAGTAAAATTTTTGTAGGATGCTGGTCTAGTCCATCTCGAGAAAATAGCAGATAAGTGGGGGAAGAATGGGCAAGGAGGTGAGTGGCAAGAGCAATGGTGGGAACACTATGATGCATCGAACAAGGTAGAAAAATGGGCACACAAGTGTTGCAGCATTGACCCAACAACGCCGCTCGATGCTGGCCATGCTCATGTTTGGCATGAAAAGTAAACCCATCCGCAACTCTTAATTATGCAGCAATTAGTTCTCTCCTATGTGTTTTCTTTCCTCATTGTGTCTGTGTAGGTGGGGCGAGCGAGAACTACGATGAGCACGGAGGGAGCACGAAGTACACAGCAAAGCAGTTAAAATCGGGATTTTATCTAAAATCGAAATCGTAAAATCGAATCGTAGAATCGTAGGATTTTAAGTACCATATAGAAATTAGCATATAATAATATTAATAAGGTAAATAATTAATAACACAAAGACTTATAACATTTAAAGTGATAATTTTCAAGATTAATGTTCCAAAATCATCATTTTAATTGTTATTTAATGCGTAACTCAAAATAATTTACGAGGAATGGATAGAGCTTATGGGGTTTGGCTCTTGTTTTTCATGTTGTGTCTAGGTAGTTTAACTCAAAGTAGTATTCCGATATCGTCTACTAAGCACGATTTAAAACTAAGAATAACTGAACTTCAATAAAATAATTAATGTCATTAGTTTGGTACAAATATATTCATTAATCAAATAATTTGTTAATAATGATGTTAATTCTTACGCACTTACAATATTCTGACAATTGTTTTATCGATGAGTTAAACAAGGAGAAGTTAAAGGGGTTGACCAAACCCTAATTAGTTTTTTTCCTTCTTTGAAATGTTCTTTAAATAGGAAAAATATATGAGAAGATTCCCGTCATTGCCATTTCCACCGAAACAGTTATGCTTCTTTCGAATTGGCTCAAGCTCCCTATTTTGTTCACATAGGATCAAAATCCAGATTTTGGTAGGATTTTATGATTTGAACGATTTTAAGGTCCACCAATTTTATAGTAAAATCAGGATCGTAATCCCTAAGTAATATCCTAAAATCCTACGATTATACGATCCAAATCCTGATTTTGATTGCATTGGTACCCAAACAAGTGGGCAGAGAGGTGGGAGGGAGACATGTGGGCGAAATGGGACGAGGATTTCTCGACGAGCGACCATGGAGTGAAGCAGGGGGAGACGTGGTGGGCAGGGAAGTACGACGATCGCTGGAATCAGACTTGGGGCGAGCAGCACAATGGGACGGGTTGGGTGCACAAGTACGGGCAGAGCAACAGCGGGGAGCACTGGGACACTCATGAACCTCAAGTTACATTGAAACATCCCGAACCTTTTCGCAAACCAAACCAGAACTCAAACTGAAAACCGTTTACTTCGGAGCAACCCAAACCACATTTTAAAATAAACAAACTAATATTATTTAAGAATTTTAAATAAAAAGCCCTAACACTTGGGCAATCACAATCCAAATACTTAAAACAACTCAAATCAGAATCTCCAGTTTATACTCCTAACCATGCAACAACATAATTAAAATAATCTAGCTCTGACTCCTCACGAGCTCATTGACTTCCCCTCAATGCTGGTACAACTGCTCGCCTCACCTTGCTTCTTCTCGGAATCCACCTTGGCTAACCCTTCATCCACCTGGTGAGTGAGAAGGGGCAAGTCTTGTCGTTACTTCCTAAGGTCTTTGCATAAGCAAATCTCCTTATTAACACATTATTAGCAGGTTTCCTTTCTTAGACTAAAGTTGTTCTCGCTTTCATCTTTGATACTTTATTCCTTAAAAGCTTATAGAAGTTCTCTACTTCTGTCTTAACTTATACACACATCACTAGGGAATCACCGCGTTACTTCTCGCCGTGTGGTGTCCCTACCTTCGTATGCCAACCGCGTGATGTCTCGCCGTCCTATTGCATACCCAACTCGACAACGGTCTGCGTTATGTCTCGCCGTCTAGTACCATGACTGATCAACTACTGCGTTACGTCTCGCCGTCGAGTAGTGATCCAACCATCTACGGCATCCAGTAGTGGTCCAACCGCCCGGGGGTTCAGTTACCATCAACCATAAATTACAACAATACATTCATTCATACATAGCACAACGCGTGCCTCCACCGTAAGTAGGCGGTGGGATGCCTCACACACATGATCGTGCAAGCTCAAAAATTTACTAGCATAACTTGAAATTAAAGACATAAACTACAAGACCTCGATAGAGATTTTATCCACTTTACAGTCACCTTATTTGACGAACTTAATCGATCGAAATGACCCCTCTTTATTGCCGGTGGATCCATGCCATCGTCTGAGATTCCATGCTCAAATTCCTCTTGCTTCACCTCCTTTTGCAATTTCTGTTTTATGTTGCTTATGTTTATGAGCGAGAGGAAATTGACCTACCTGCTTCTTGTCTTAGTCTTTCATCCTCGGATTCGTTAACATATAGTTGTCGCGCAAGGGAACCCATATAGTTGGCCTACATGATTAACCAAAATGGAGTTTGGAACAATACAAGTTGCAGATTTTGGGCTTAAGTGGTAAATTCAACGTGGAAACAATCAAGACAACTCAAGATTCTGAATATTTCAACTACAATAGTTAAGTAAAAGCAACCAACCTTAATAGTTGAATTGCCTGATGGAGCCTTGCGTAACTCGCCATAGAAAGCATCTTTCTTTCTCTTGTTTATAACTAAAAAAGATTCAGAACAGCAAAATGCACGTATTCAGAGGAGATAAACAAGTACATCACATCAGAAGCAAATGCCAATGAGTAATAAGCGCAGGGGCAACAAGACAATGAAATGAAAAAGCATGCCAGTAAATGAGCCAACTTATGAAATGCTTCACTACTACTAGCTTCTTGTGTCCTGACTCCTAATAATACAGGTCCCTGCAATAAAAACCAATCAAATTTTCAATACACAAACTATGAATTAAAAACTTATCAAACAACTAGAAAAGATCAAAGCTTCACCAGTGGATCCTCATAAGTACCCTTATTGATTACACTCTTGAAAGCATTCCTAAAAGCTTTGGATCCTTTACCGAGCTTCGTGATCCTAGGCAGAGTTCCCTCTCCTTTTTAATCGTCATCATTTTCAGAGCCTTCTTCATTCCCAAGCTCGTCAGTTTCTACATCTCTGCTTCTTGTCTTATATAAAACACGGGAACCAGGTTATCATCATTTTCAACTTTCTTGACTGAACCCTCTTCTGTATGTTCATCGTCGGAATTGTAATCCCAATCATTCCTTCCCCGATTTGTCCAAGTAAATTTGTGTACCTTGGGAGTTTGGTTCAAATAGCCCTAAGAGGTTAACAAAGTCCCAAAGTGGGCGGGCTTTATCCATTCGCCATGGAGATCCTCCTGACTTATCAAGGGGGTATACGGAGCTATTGAAATCTCCAATAACTAGATAGGGATCCGATAGGCAAGCACAAAAATTTACAATTTCCTTTAGTTGAGATCGACGTTTAGTCACAATATAGGATAAATAAACTCCTATAAGGACAAACCGGGGGCATTCTCCATAGCGAAGAAAAATATTATTTATGACTGAGATGGCAATATAGCAAGGGGAGGAGCCCAGAATCGAGACTGAAGTCGACGGTGGCCAAGCAAAGACTAGACCCCCCGACATGCCGAAAGGGTCGACAGGATGACAATCTGAAAATCCTAACGTAGAAATAAAAGACCTGACTTTGTCATTAGGTGACATAGTTTCACATAGAACAAGAACGCCTTGACAGTTCCACGCGTAGACATTCATTTATCGGGTTGGCTTCCTCCACCCTTTTATTTTCTACCACCTTAGGACTTTTTGGGACTGATTCTACTGCATCTTCCTCTGGCTCTCGAATGCAGATGCCATTGTTTCTTCTTGTATAGACTTTTGGTGACCCCGATGACTCGATCATGATTGCTTTTTCTTTAGACTCCCCATCTATAACGTGATCAATTGGAAAGCATGATTGTACTTAGTCGGTGGAGACTTCCTTATTGCCTATTTTGTTTAATTCAAGCTCAAAATCTTGCATGTCTAGAAGGTGAGAGTCTCCCATATTCTTAAACAAAAAACTAGGATCCTCAATGCAAAATAGATTACCTAGTTCGTAAGATGGAGAGGCAGCCTGGAACTGCAAAGGTCGAACATCATTTGCTACATGATTCGCTGTCATGATTTTTTCCATGATGGGCTCTTGGACTTGGGAAGTTTGATGTGGGTGTCCTTGCTTGCTGGGCCCTTCACCCAGATTTCTTGACTTAAGACTCAGCCCATTAGCTTCAAAACAGGGCTTGGTGAGAGGATAAGATTGAGAGCAGGAGATAGGGTTGGGGTCGCTGACTTGGTGAGAATTTCTCCCCTGAGATCTCACAGAAGAGTGAGAAGTTGGGTTCCCTGACTTCCTTCATTGGCGATTAGATGACTGACGGCGACTTGGTCCGTCAAGGAGGAGCGGTTTATGCTGTGGCGGAGCAGCAGGTCCGACGTCGTTCCTCCATACATTACTCGTCCAGTTCTTCTTCTCCATTTTCGCCGAGGCGTATGAATAATTTGGATTCGGTTCGCTTTCCAAAGATTTCCGGGCCAAAGCCGTCGTCTCTGGTGATCAGGTCGAAAGAGCAGCTCTCCTGGTTATGCCCAATTCTTCTGCATCTGAAGCATACCACTTTGAGGTTTTCGTACTTAAGTTTTAGCCGGAAGGTCTCGCCTACCGATCCATCAGCGCTCCGTTTCCTTGCTTCCAGCTTGTGGTGAAGTGGAGCGGAGACATCGATCAAAATTCTAGCCTTGAATACACATCCTGGCGACTGCCAGACTGCATACATCCCAGCTTCCTCCACAGTGCCTAGTCGTGAAGCCAGCAGAGCAATAAGGTAGAGCAATGGCATCTGCATTCGAAAGATTTCAGTTTGTTGGCAGGCAGAGCAATAGGGTAGCGCATTGTGTGGCTAAAAAGGCCCTATCTTTGTTTCCTGTAGGGTGTAATGGGTTCGATTTCAGCGCTTGACTCTCTGTAGGGTGTTAAAAAAATAATTGTCTTAATTCACTTTTAAAAATTTTGTGGTCTATTAAGTATCAATTTATTTATAAGATCACATTGACTTATTATTCGATAATTTCTCAAGAGAACATGGAGCACTAATCCAATTGTTTTTATTTGTTCATTTAAGCAATACGTGCTTTGAGTTAAAATGGGTGATCTTCTTGCGCCACTTCATTGTCTTTGAAGGTGGGCAATACCGAGTCATAAACTTGTCGAGCATGTCATCCCACGAGGTGATTGAGAGGGTCGGTCTATAGTTGAGCCACCGAGACGCATTCCCCGCAAGAGAGTAGGGGAACAGCCTCAACTTCAAAGCATCCTCGGGAACACTATTGATCTTCAAACTCCCCGCAAGTTCGATGAACTTCTGAACATGCTCCTTTGGAGTAGGGGTGGGAAACGATACGGTTGCGGTTAACTGCAACCGCAAAATACCCATATTGACCAACCGCGACCGCGTCCGGCACGGTTAGCAGTTAACCAATAACTGCAAAACGCGGTGAACGGTGCACCGCGGTTACTGGAGGTAAAAACCGCATCAACCGCATCTGTGTACCTAACCGTGGTTAAGCAAAAAATCGCAAACTAACCGCAAAATTAACCGAAAAAACTCATAAAAAAAACAGCAGCTACTGTGTGGAATTTTACACTTCCACCAAGCCCCTGCATCTGCATAGGAAACAACATCTACTTCTTATAGCTGATCATTTCAAAACAATTGGTTGTAAGCTTAATTGAATTTGACCACCTTGCTCTACCCTTTTTCTTCTACAAGAAATAGTATTTGTACGAAGAGCAGAAGTACCATTATTGCGTGGATCGGCAGCTAGCTCTTTTGCAAAACAAGCATCTTGCCTTCCTCAACTCCTTCTTCACTACCTTCCCCTCTGCCGCTTGTTTCTTGGCATTGGGATTTGGTACATAATACAGTTTGTACTCTTCATATGTTGTTGACTTTATCTTGGACACCTTCCTCTTACTCTTTTTTGCAGGTTGTTTTGTTGCTGGAGTGACACGCTAAAACACAACACCAAACTGCGACCAAGTGTAATCGCAGTCCGGAAATGAAGTAACAAGCAAGCTCAAATTGTCAACCCGGGGTCTAGATCTACTGCCTACTCCATGTATATATTTTATCTAGCAAACTAAGTCGATTGATTATGGTTTTAACTAAAAGCAGTAAGAAAGCAGGAAATGGTTCGGTTTTCTAAAGCAAAGGAAGAGTCACTCGGGAATGAGTCCCCCTAGCTCCTTAGTTAGGTCAAAGTTGTAATTACTTTTGGTTACTTTACTGCTGATTATACGGCGGAAGATCCGACAGTAGCTTGGAATCTCTTAAGCTGACCAAGCCCTCTCAGTCAAACTACCCGGCAGACGACTTGTCTTCACCGGGATAGAAAGCTGAGGCTATGAACACAGAACTCCACTACTAGAATTAGATTCTAGTACAAAGCAGTGAATCGACTAACTCTCGTATAATCGATTCACTACTACCGATTGAAGAAGCTCTAACAACCTAACCAGATTCTATCTATCTCAGGTTGCAGCAGAAATCAATAAAAGATGATCAGACTTCAATTGACTCAATCAAAACACTTCAATCGATTATAATCAAGCAATATCACAATCCAAACGTAATTACAATCAAGATTCCTAACACATGGAACTAGGGTTCTTCATACCCAAGTGAGAGAAAGTTCTACTCCATAGAGAGAGAGAGGGAAACAGAATACAAAGCATTCATACTCATAACAATGGGAAGAATCTGCTCTGGGATGTCAATCTTCACTCCTGGGGATGCAATATGGGCTTCAATGGTGAGAAATCCACTCCAAATAGCTCCTAGGGTTTGTTCTTCACACTTTCTCTCTCTAAAACTTTGTTTTTGCTCCAAAAAGTTGACTCTCTCTCCTTTGGCTCGAATCTGCCTCAAAAACCTGATCCTGGGCAAAACACGGTCGAGGGCACGGCCGTGTTTTGATTTTGCTCGTCCTTGCCCTTGCCACGTGTTAAAAACACTCCGGCGTCGGTAAAAACACGGTCGTGCCTAAAGATGGGCACGACCGTGCTTTTAGTCACTTCCGCCCGTATTTTGGACATCGCAGGAGCCCCCTTCGACCCAGCGTCGGCATAAATAACACGGCCTAGACCACGCCCGTGTTCTTCTTTAGGCCAGCCCGTGTTTTGCTTTTCCATCTATTCAGCTCTCGCACATAAAAACACTGGCGTGCTCATTTGTGTACACGGCCGTGTTTATCAGGCCTCCTGCCCGTGTTTTGCTCCCAGCTCGACCGAATGACCTCCAAATGCCCCGAATCTCGTGCTTAGCCTTTCCTTCGACGTCTGGGACCTGAAATATGACAAAGTAGAACAACCCAGCGTAAAATGGCTCAAAAATACACGACTACTAGCCGCAAACGGATAAGAACTAAGGGTGCAAACATGTGCAAATACATCGTTATCAAATTCCCCCACACTTAACCGTTTGCTTGTCCCTAAGCAAACCAAATCAGACACAAGGTAACCTCAAAACATTTTAATCAAGCAGGCTTTAGGGACATATCATATCGACAGAAAACACGTGAATCATACTGGCTTTTGATCATTAACACATGAAAAACCTCAACGACAACCCAGACAACCACCACAGATGACATTCGAGTGCAGCAAAGTCGAGGAAAGTAAGAGTCTCCCTTCTGTTCACCAACCAACATGGACTTGACTCAACCACTTATTAAAGACAGTCACTTCATGCACAAAGCTCAAGATATCAGAATTAAGACCAAGCAATCTAGGTCCTCACTGGGGTAAAGAGTGTAGAAAATATGAGGAAATAAATTGCTCACTCTCGACCAGTGGGGTCAGGACAGAATTTTGATGCAAGATGTGCATACTCATACTCTCAATTCCTAACGTCTCTTCACCATGACGACAACTTCTAAATGTTAGAGTTCACATATCGGGTGTCATCACTAACTAATCCGGAGGTCTTAGACAGAGGTTCAGATGACTGGCTAGGGTCTTAGACATGGGGAAAAGGCCTTTTAGGTGGTGGAAGTATTCATAGCACAAGGTTCCACAATTCCAAACCCAACACATCACAGTCAATCAAACCACTTACTTTCTTTCTGCCATTCTGCATTACTCACATTCTCTAGAGCACAAGAGCGAAGGAGGTCACAATAATGTTAGCATTTCCAAGCTAGACTGCTAAGAAACACTACTTAATGGGCACTATTCAGATTTGTGGTGGTGGCTCTCTTTTGCTTTCATTCATTTTTTTTTCATTTCTTGAGAGAACCACCACCTATGCACATTTTTCAAACACATGCCCAAATTTTTTAAGACTACCTCCAACCCTCACATTATATTTAGCAGAAACAGCAGAGAACATGTAAAAACCACTATGTGGAACCTTATATGAGATGCAAAAGGGTGATTTTTCATTGTAGACCGAAATAAAGGATAACACACGGCTCAAAGGGCTGACTAGGGGGTATGACACATAAGGACAGTCAATTTGGTCGTTGGCTAATCCTATGCCTCCATCATCTTAGCTAATGACAACGTGAATGCTACACATCATGGAAGAGGGAACTATCGCATAAGAAAGAAACGAACATGCTCAAATCTCACATGGCTACCTATTTGTTCTATTTCTCATTCTGATTCCCTGAGCTAGATGCATAAACGATGTCAAGAACAAGTGATTAATCCAAGTCACAGTTGGTAAGCAAACCGTTGAAGAATTGAACCCCTACACAATTCTATTGCACGTCTCAGTCATCATAATAAGCTGTCTTAGTCACACTCCAGTTGTCATGCATTAATTCAAAATCCATTCAATTCACCAATCAAATCCACAGTGCCAATACGATCAAGCATCAAGCAAACAACAATACTTGGAGCCCTCAAATCTCGAGATTTGGATAGCGGACTAGGATCCAAGCACACATATATACGTTCCAATGAATACAAAGAACCCCCCCCCCCCCACGCACACACACTTAAATGCGACAGTGTCCTCAATGGAGAGAGGGAAGGGGAACGATGTTATCGTGAAATGAGATCAGGAACGGGGACTGGAAGGCAGACTAGTCAATAGCAGGGGACTGGAAGGGGGACAGTCCAAGGCACAGAGCTAAAGTCATCAAAAGACACACACTGGGTGAAAGAACCGGAGTTCCATGTATACAATCCAAAAGAACAAAACATAAAGAAACAACAAAAACATGGAATCTCAGTATGGAAAAGAAATGAAGTGCAGAACCAGCCACTCACCACTAGAACGCATCGCCACCATCGCCGATGGGTGGAGGGTACTCGTCCTCATACCCCGGTGACTGCACGAAGGGGTAGTGGACCGAGTTCAGGTCCAGGCCCAGGTAAGACATGATGTAGTGCTGGCCGGACATAAGACAACGACCGCGGTCCCGCTCACGATCGAGGCGGGTGTGAATACTCTCCTGGCCGGCCAGAATGCACTCGTTCTGCAAAGCAATGGCCACTAACTGGTTAGCAATGGAGACCGCGGGAGCGGGAGACCCGGGAGCAGCGGAGAGGTTCGCAGGGGCCTGGGCACGACGAATAGTACGGCGGGGAACCCGGCGCCCCCAGCTGCGCTTGACTCTGCTGGTCGTCCCAACAGGTTCAGGTAAAGGCGGCCGAGGGAGACCCGCAATCCATGCCAAACGCCCCTGTAGAGTAAGCATGTGCTGATGGCGGAGGGTGGCTTCACTGAATGGGGTCGCTGCTCGGACCAAGGTCATCCCAGTGGTGTCGACCCCATAGTAGCGAGCCAGGGCGGTGATCACCGGACCACAAACAAGCTGGCGATCTGGTTGGCGGAGGCCTTGGTGAATGTCCGGGCGATCACAGAGCCCAGCGCGATAGTGTACTCAGAGTGACCCATCACGTGCATGAAGGACAGGGTCCGGAGGGTGACCCGGTTGGCCGAGCCCCGGCTGGGAGTGTAGGACTGGGTGAGCAGGTGGTTGAGGATCCGCCACTCCGGACGGAGGAGAGTGTCTCGCGTTTGGCTGGCGATGTAGAGCTCATCCGCATAGTCCGGTAGGCAGATGCGCTCGAAGTAGGCCTGGTCACCAAAGTCGTTGGGATCAGTCACCTCAACGATCAAGGGGCGGTCAATGGGGTGCGGGGAGTTGAGCCGAAGTGCACTGGCCAACTCCTAGTAACTGATGGAGTGCTCCACCCCGCCGAGTGTGAAATGTACCGCATCAGCATGGTCGGCCGACCACCTCTGGGAGTGGCGAAAGGAGGCGTATAACTCCCAGACGAGCTCCTGGTAGGTCGGCTCGGAGAGGCAGAGAAGTCGCCGCCAACCATAGGCGCGAACAGCGGCCTCCATCTACGGCCGGGCATGGAGCGCCTCAAACACCCCAAAGGCGAGATGCAGGTGCTCGGCGATATGGCGGGTACGGATGGTTCGCAGCAGGTGGCGTTGGGTGATGCTCAATTGGTCGAGGTAGGCCTCCATGGTCATGCAAAGCAAAAGGATGTACAAATGGCACACAAGCGAACAGGGTCACTGTTAGCCAAAAAACACACTAGGAGCCCTCACATCGAAAGATATGGACAGTGGACTAGGCTCCCGGTGAAACAAGCATACCAATCACAACGAGAATCACACAAACAAACACACATGGGGTCCTCAAATCGAGCGATTCGGGAAGTCGACTAGGCCCCCGGTGGAACAGACACATAATCCATCCCAAATATTCACTAATCGATCATTTATCACACATAAGACACACAAGCACGCATGCAATGCCAACATGCAAATGGTAGGCCGAGGAACTGAAATCCCGAGACAAAAATAGAACAAACATATAGCGCCATTGGCCTACCAAATCATTCTCAAAGCATGCCACAATCCTAAATTCTTCGCCTAACTCTAGGTATCAATTCTCCAAAAATAAAATAGGAGACCATGAAAATACACTTGGAGACGCAAGTAGATACCGCAAGGTAGGCGAAGAAAAGGGAAGAAAACACCCCAAAGTCGTCGGAAGCCCCACCGGAGACTCACCGGAGAACTCGCCGACGGCGACCCAACCGCCACCAAACAAGCCAAA